AATCTATTTAACAACCACGCGATGGAGTCTCCATGGCAAAGGAAAAAAAATAGAAAGTGACAAAAAAATGTCTTTTTATTCTCGACAATGGATGTATGAAAGAATTGATTCTATTACGAATCAAATCTCAAAACAATATGAAGAAGGGTTGCAAAATTTTATGTCGTTTGCCATGTCAAATCTGTCGTATTTGGAGAGCGAAAAGCTGCCTTGTCCGTGTGTAAAGTGCCAGAATAAAAAATGGCGGAGTTTGAGTGAAGTGTGGAATCACTTATATCGTAAAAGTTTTATGCCGAATTATTTTGTTTGGCTTGCACGTGAAGAAACCTATGATACATCATCATCATCACAAGATGTACATATGGTTGGATATGAAGAAATCAATAATACGACGTCGGAGATGACATTTGGAGAAGAAATAAGGAATCCATACACGGAAATGGTGAGTGATGCATTTTCCAATATCGTTCCATCGCCCCACATGGAGGTGGAACCCAATGTAGAAGCAAAAAGGTTTTATGGTATGCTTCATACGACGAATACGGTGATATACGATGGATGTGTCCAAGGTCTTTCAAGGTTATCATTATCTTCACAGTTGATGAATATGAAGACAGATTATAATCTTTCAGAAAGGTGTATGGACGGTTTCACCCAGATGTTTAAACATTATCTCCCAAAAGGTAACACTGCACCTGAATCTTATTATGAAACTAAGAGTTTAATGCGGACGTTGGGTCTACCGTATCAGAAGATTGATGTATGCGAGAACAACTGTATGATTTTCTAGAAAGATGATTCAGATCTGATGCAATGTCGGTTCTACGGCAAAGACAGATACCGACCACGACGGAAATCATCAAGAAAATGTTGGTTGTAATGCTCTAGGATGATCCGTGATATGACATTTGACTGAGTATTGATTCGTTGATTTATGAATTCATTATTTTTCCCGTTATACGATTAGCATGTTTGTTGTATTTCGGCATCCTTGAATCATTAGAGAATGATTCTAAACTCCCTAGTCAGTCGTCGTTGTGGGAACAATGATGAATTAAGACTAGCATGAGGTGTGATCAATGCATTGGATGCAGGTCACAATCATGGGTATTCGTTGTGAACGAGTGATTGGATGACCCACATGAGATTGTCACATGGACAAAGTCATGACTTGAATCTCATACAGCGGTTCGTTCTTGGATCCTCATACCTGAGATGTCTAGAGTATCTAATATGAGGAGTGGCGTGTCTTGACTGCGTCAAACGTCGTCTTTAACCGGATGATTATAACGACGTTGATCAGATACGTTCACGAATCATATGGAGATAGTAAACATGCAATATGGGACTTGTCACCTCCTTAACAGGAGAGATATAGCTGGGCCCTCTCGTGGGAAGTCGGACTATGAAAATGCGTGGCCACGCTATAGATGAAGTTGCATATATTTTATTAGTCGATTTGCCGAGATGAGAAAGCGGTTGAACTTGAAGGGTGGCTCAGACCATGCCCTTGTTCAACTTATGATATTGTGAGACAAAGGATCAGAATTCGAGCTGTTAATGCCTTGGTTAGATCATCTCTATCAATTCTAAGTGGATGGTCATGGCGTCTTGCTAGAGGCTAACCAAGACTTGTGGTTCGGGAAAGGTTCCTGATAACTCCTATTCTTCTCTATATTTTGATGAGAGTTTGTCTAAGTTTTATAGGATAATCACATGCATTCATAGGTATTCTAGGCGTGTTAGGATACAAAACCCGGTTGTGCTCTAGTTTTGCAGAGTTACAGGTTTCGGAGATGATTGGACTCGAAAAGGAACTAATTGGAGCGTTAAAGGAGAAGTCCGGATGAGATACTCATGTTGCGACATCAATAACTTTCTCTACAGAGGTTAAAATCGTGTGAGACTTATACCATTGGAAAGAGCACTTCAAGAGCTTCGCGTAGACACCAAAATCGCGTAAATCCGACACTGGAGCAGAAAGTTACGAGCGAAATCGTGAAGGCCAGAAAACTGCCAGCGCAGGGCCGGATCCAACTGGATCCGGTCCGGATCAAGGACGCAGAATTCGACCCCAGGAATCTGGATCCGGTCCGGATCCACCTGGAATCGGTCCGGATCCAACCAGAAACCCTAATTCGCGATTTTCAGCATTGGAATGGGATTAGAACTCTTGGGAGCCACCCTAGGGTTATAAAAAGAGCCCTAACCACGTCCTAGAAGGGGGGAACCGGAGAGAGAACACTTAGATACATACTTTTGGAGAGCTTTTGGTGAGAGAAGAATAGAAGTTCACGGGATTTCGGGAAGAAGAAGGAGGATTCGATCGTGAAGACTAGACATCAACATGAGCTTTTCTATCCCTTCTTTTATCTCTTTTTCTCTGTTCTTTCTATTATTTTCCATGAACCTTGAGTAGATCCATGACTATGGGTTAGGGATTCGTATGTGTTTTGGGTATGTTTGAACCCTAACTTGGATTTCGGTTTTGATTTGATTCGGTTCTATTGATTTGCACTTTTATTGGATTGATGTTTGCTAACCCCTTGATCAATTATCTTGGATTCTGAACCACATAGAGATATGGGTTTGTTTCGAATCAAAATCAATAGGATAGATCGTATTATTCACATAGAGATATGGTTTAATCGATCTAGGGTTGATGATAGCGTTCTTCATGCACCTAGGGTTAAC